AATGTTTTACAGCCTCTGAAGGAGATTCTTCCTCCAACAACTCTTAAAGTGTGACTGTGTGTCTTCCTGCTGAACTGAGAGAGTAAGACATGATGATGTTTACAGTGTAATATGGAATAAAAATCTGTGTGTGGAGTGAAAATCCAGCAGAAAAGCCTGTGCTAACATTAAACCTCAGCTCAGAGCTGATCCTGTTTCTGTGTGTTTTTCTAGGAGAGAGGAGGAGACGGAGATAAGGACAGAGTTTAACGGAGATTAAAGATTGTTTCGACTCGCACACGGCTTCTGTCCTCCGTTACATTGAGGGTGACGTCATCAACAGGCAGCGGTGTTTCAGCTGGAAGGAAGCTGGTGTCCGGCTCTGCTCGGTGTTGTGTCGTGTGCTCCATACTTTATTCTGTTGATTAGTGATTCTGATTTTGAACTTTTTCCTGACATTGAGCTCGATTGGTCCCTCGTGTTTAGAATATTTGGTCTCTGTATATAGTTTGCATCTTTGTACATAGTAACTATTTTCTACATTGTAAATATTATTTTCTTTATTTTTTCACCAATTTACATGTTAAAGGATAGTACTGCATTACAGGAACACTATCCTACAGAAATTAAAAGTAAAATAACATTTAAACAAAACGCACTGCAGCGAGCCTGCAGCTCTTCATTATGATACACATATTATATTTAAAAGATGCTCAGACATTTTGACTGAAGCCCCAATGAAGACAGGATAAATCCAGCCCTGAAGCACAGAATAGTGAGATAAGATATCTTGAAAGATGTTGATAATATGAACAGTATATTTGACAGTATGAAAGGCTTGTACAGGCCACACTCTCAGCACCTCTAACACTCCACACTGCCCCACAAACATCAGCTCTGTGTTTAAGTGAGAAGGCAGGTGCATCCTGGTCTGGAGGAACATGCTGTTATACGAGTTCGGGGGCCTCTGGGCAAATCACTCACCTTTAGGTAACTGCATATTTATTAGTCTTTGTTGTTTTGGACAGGGCTTCTTGTGTATTTCTCTCTGCTCACCTCTGAAAGGCCCCTTTGAGCTTCCAATGGAGCTGTTGTTCTGTACTTTTTCTGGATTTCTCCTCACAGAGCTGCAGGGTCTATACTGAACCGCATCAGTAACAGAGGACTCTGCCCCCAAAGTCCTACAGAAAGCTACAGTGATGAACACTCCCTTTAAAGGTGCACTGATGCTTTCTTTCTTCTTACAGCTTCAGGGTTATTGTGTTGGTTATTTCTTCAGTTTTTCAGGAAGGCTTTTAGAGCCTTTGACTCTGAGCAGTTAATAAAAGCGACTTCACATGCAGGATCTGGCTTTGGGGCTCTCTGACTGCTTGGGCCCCTGAAGTCCAGTTCAGTAATCCATTCCTGGTGAAGTGTGACTGGGTTCTGGGTTTGTGTACTTGTTTATGGTGAACAGTTTAAATCAGCTACAACTTTAAGCATGAAAAATCTACACAAAACAAACACGAGCACAATCTCAGTAAAATCCTACAGCCCGTGATGTTTAGTCTTAATAACAACGTCTTATTTTAGTGTCAGAGATCAGAATTGATCCAAGATGGCGCCGCTAAGAAAGGCTCACAATCCACAATGCAATTTTTGTGTATTTTATCTTGTTTTTTAGCACTATCATTGAGCTAGGTCACGGACACATAACATACAACCGACAAACTTTAATCAACACTGGAACAGACTTTACTCACCACTCTTATTCCCGTGTTCATCCCGAACCGACTGGCCTGTGGAGATCGCTCTGAGCCAGGTAAACAATGGACTTGCTCTCCTGAGACGGTGGCGACAACGAGGAGTTAAAAGAGCCAGTGTGAGGAACCGGGTACGAGCCAGGGCACACTCCACACCAGTGCCCAGTGTACAGCTGCCTGGGTTCTCCCTTCACCGCATGGACAGGGCAGAGAACTGGGGGAAAGTGCGCGGTGGTGGAGTGTGTGTTATGATCAGTGACAAATGGTGCAGCTCAAGGAGCACCCATTGTAATACGGAATTATGCACACCGGACCTGGAATATAATTAAATTTATTTACCCCGAGAATCTACCTCCACCATCTTCTTGACTGATTATATTCCACCTCAGGCACACACAGACACCGCTTTATCGACACTGCACCCGGACGCAGCGCTGGTGATTACCGCTGACTTTAACAAGTCTAACTTGGTAAAAAGTCATGCCGGAATCCTGTCGGCATGTAACCTGCAGTACACGGGGAGAAAGAACGCTGGAGCACTGTTACACACAACACAGGAACTGCTATAAAGCAATGAAAACACCACCACTTGGTAAGTCAGACCACGCTGCCTTTTTACTACTCCCAAAATATAAACAAAGGCTACAGAGGGAAGATCCGGCGCTGGACTGACCAATCACAAGCCACGCCACAAGACGCTTCAGGACGCAGACTGGGAGATGTTCCGGCGCAGCTCTGATGACGTCAGCAGAGTTTCTGATAGGAGAGACTATTCCCACACGCTCGGTACCTATCCTTTGTCACCAGTTTGTCTTAATTTGGTTGATACTTTTGTTGGTAGATTATGTTTTGCCTCTCCATGCAAAAGTAATAATAGGATAGTCCGTTCATTATTTCAGCAGAATATTATTACTCTGCCAGCTGTGACTGCTTATTGGAATAATGCAGTGGGTAACATCTGCTGGTGTGGATGCTTCCTCATACTTATTTACTAACTAACAAAGTAAAGGAGATTTCCTACAAAATAATTAATAAGTTCTATCCTGCAAAGCATTACATGAAAAAATTCAAAAGTGATATTTCCTCCAGTTGCTCTTTTTGTGATGACTGTTGAAACTGTTGTTCATATCTTTTGGAACTGTCCATTTACAAAGAAATTTTGGCAAGATGTTTTATGTTTCATTAGGAGTAACATTTATAATGAATGTGTCCTGTTTTGGAAGGACGTAGTACTGGGTTTTATTGATTATGTACAATCTAAAAGAAAACAGTTTTATGTAGTGAATCTGATTTTGCTTCTTGCAAAATTTCACATCCACAGATGCAAATATTCAAACCCCAGACCTCTCTCTTTTGTTTTTATTCCTATCTTTAATGACATGTAAGTCTCAATTTTGTTTTTTCAGTTTGTAATGTATTAAACACCCCCTTTTTTTCTCCCTTATTGTCTATCATTTTTAGGTTGATGGTTGTATTATTTTTTGTATACTGTTTTTGATTTTTGAGCATTAATAAAAATATATATATATATATTCCCACACACTCTGTAAAGGTTTTTCCCAGTCAGAAGCCGTGGGTGGACCGATCTGTGTGGAAAGCTCTGAATGTGCACACAGCTGCTTACAACGCAGGGCTGCAGACTGGCAGCATGGACGAATACAAAGCGGCTTCCTACAGCCTGAGGAAAATGGTGAGGGAAGCCAAAAGGAAATACAAGATTGAGACCCAGTTTGAGCAGGCAGATTCCAGGTGTCTGTGGCAGAGCATGCAAACTGTTACAGACTACAAACCCAAGCCCCCCACCATTAATAATGGCAGTGCCTTCCTAGTCAATGAAATGAACATCATCTACTCTACTTGAGGTTACCAGCACAGACCAGGAAAACTGTGATTATGGGCAGTGGTAGCTCAGTGGTTAAGACGTCAGCCTACCGATCAGAAGGTCACGTGTTCAAACCCCAGCGCTGCCAAGCAAGGGGAAGGGCACCCTTAACCCTCAATTGCTTAGTTGTGTAAATAAGATAAATGTAAGTCGCTCTGGATAAGGGCATCTGCCAAATAATGTAAATGTGAGTATGAACCATCAGGTCTAGATGGAGAAGAGGAAAGACTGATCTTTTAAGAATTGGATGTGAGGAAAGTGCTACACACAGTTAACACCAGAAAACCATGTGGTTCGGACAACATCCCTGGACGTGAGCTAAAAGTCTGTGCTAATCAACTAGCACCAGCCTTTACCACCACATTAACCTCTCCCTCAACCAGTGTGTTGTGCCCACGTTTTAAGTCCTCCACCATTATTCCTGTCCCCAAAACCGCCCGTCCTGCCTCCCTGAATGACTACTGTCCCGTAGCACTCACTTCTATAGTGATGAAGTGCTTTGAAAAGCTGGTTAGAAACTATGTCTGCTCCCTCCTTGGTGGCCAAGCGTCTCTAACATCTACAACGTCTGTCCAGGTTCAAGGTCTCTCACAGGGTGCTGAAGCTTTTCTACACCGGGGCTGTGGAGAGTCTTCTCACCGGGAGCATCACCACCTGGTTTGGAGGAACCACGGCCCAGGACCGGAATGTACTGTCCAGGACTTCTCTCTCCTGCATCACAAACATCTACAACCCGCTATGCAAGACCAAGCCCAGGAGAATTGTAAAAGACTCTCACCACCCCAGAAATAGTATCTTCTCAGTGCTCCCATTAGGGAAGCGCTACCAGATCCTGAAGACCAACACAGAGAGACTCAGGAGGAGTTTCCTCCCTCAGGCAATCTGACTACTGAATGAGGACACTTGAGAAGTCTGCATATCTCTACCTCACACACAGACACACATACATAAACAGTGTGCCCTATGGAAAAATTTTTTTTGCACACGACATAAAAAACACTTACACTGTACAGCTCTGAATATCTCTATACAGAAACAGTTGCACTATGAGACGATTTTTTTGCACACTACAGCTCTGTATGTTTTTTTAAACATATTCTAATGCATATTCATATTCGACATTTCATTCCTCTAAAGGCTACTAAACTTATTTACATGTAGTCTACTAGTTTTTATTTTATTTTATTTTATTCTGTTTTTATTATGTATCATTGTTGCACTGTGGGACAAGGGACTAAGAAAAACATCTCGCTACATTACATCACATGTACAGTACCTGTCAAAGGTTTGGACACACCTTATTCAATGGTTTTTCTTTATTGTTATTGTTTTCAACATTGTATATTAATACTGAAGACATCCAAACTATGAAAGAACACGTATGGAATTATGTAGTAACAAAAATGTGTTAAATAACCCAGAATATGTTTTATATTTTCGATTCTTCAGAGTAGCCACCTTTTGCTTTGATGACAGCTTTGCACACTCTTGGCATTCTCTCAGTCAGCCTCATGAGGTAGTCACCTGAAATGGTTTTCCAACAGTCTTGAAGGAGTTCCCACAGGTGTTGAGTACTTGATGGCTGCATTTCCTTCACTCTCCGGTCCAACTCATCCCGAACCATCTCAATTGGATTTAGATCGGGTGATTGTGGAGGCCAGGTCATCTGATGCAGCACTCCATCACTCTCCTTCTTGGACAAATAGCTGTTACATAACCTAGAGGTGTGTTTGGGGTCATTGTCCTGTTGGAAAACAAATGATGGCCCCACTAAGTGCAAACCAGATGGGATGGCATGTCTCTGCAAAATGCTGTGGTAGCCATGCTGGTTAAGTGTGCCCTCAATTTTGACCAAGTCACCAACAGTGTCTCCAGCAAAGCGCCCCCACACCATCATACCTCCTCCTCCATGCTTCACAGTGGGAACCACACATTCAGGAACCGTCCGTTTACCCTCTCTACGTCTAACAACGACACAGCGGTTAGAACCAAAAATCTCAAATTTGGACTCATCAGACCAAAGGACAGTTTTCCTCTGATCTAATGTCCATTCCTTGTGTTTCTTGGCCCAAGCAAGTCTCTTCTGCTTGTTGCTCTTCCGAAGTAATGGTTTCTTTGCCGCAATTCGACCATGAAGGTCTGACTCACGCAGTCTCCTCTGAACAGTGGATGTTGAAATATTTCTGCCACTTGAACTCAGAGAAGCATTTATGTGGGCTGTAATCTGAGGTGCTGTAAATCAGCGGTTTCTGAGGCTGGTAATTCTAATAAACTTATCCTCTGCAGCAGAGGTAGCTCTTGGTCTTCCTTTCCTGGGGCGGTCCTCATGAGAGTCAGTTTCATCATAACGTTTGATGGTTTTGGCGACTGCACTTGGGGATACATTCAAAGTTCTTGAGATTTTTCGGATTGACTGACCTTCATTTCTTAAAGTAATGATGGATTGTCTTTTCTCTTTACTTAACTGAGTGTTTCCTGCCATAATATGGATTTGTACAGTGGTCGTAGTAGCACTAATAGGGCTGTTGACTCTGTAACCACCCTTCCTCTGCACAAGACATCTGATGGTCTAAAGCACATTAAGAAGGCAAGAAATGTTCCAAATTAACTCTTGACAAGGCACACCTGTGACTTTAAAACCATTCCAGGTGACTACCTCGTGAATCTGATGAGAGAATGTCATGAGTGTGCCAAGCTGTCATCAAAGACAAATGTAGCTACTTTGGACAATCTAAAATATAAAACATTCTGGGTTGTTTAACACTTTTTTGTTTACTACATAATTCCATACGTGTTCTTTCATAGTTTGGATGTTTTGAAAATAATAAAAATAAAGAAAAACCACTGAAGGAGAAGGTGTGTCCAAACTTTTGACTGGTACTGTATGTAATATGTATGTGACAAATAAAGAGCCTTGAACCCTTGAATTCACCATGGAAATGTTCATACTGTAAACCGGGACATAATTCAGTGTTATTCAAACCCAGTGTTAAAGTGCCACCTAGTGTTAGTGTTAATTAATTACACTTCATCAGTTCATTACACTTTATCTCCTGAATCAGGAGTGAGAGAGACGTTTTCATCACTGAGTCAAGATAACTGTGCTTTAGTTAAAAATCCTGGAGGAATTTCAGAAGTTTATAAAAGAAACTCTTTCTGATTTTATGGAAGTTCATTCAGGTCTCCTGTAGATCCTCTCCATGTTTGTTCTTGTGAAATGGCGCAATAATAGTCTCAGTTTACTGTAAATAACATCTGATAGGCTTTAGATCATGTGTCACTGTGTGAGCTTCTCTGTTTCACCTGCTGAGATTTATTCAGGCCTCAGCTGAACACACTATAGGAGACATGCTGCAGAGAATGAGACAGGAAGTGACACATGAACCAACAGTGACCTCATAATGCTTTTACTCAACACCATGGAAACTAACTGGAAAGCTGTGTGTAAGATTCCTCTGTCTTATAAAGTTATTAAAGCTGAATTCAGTCATGAACCTGCACCGAGATAAAAGGAAACAGTGAGAAACGTTTATCTCCTG